GTTAATACCAGGTAGTAACAGGACAAATCTCCTCATTTTACTTACATGTATCAATGGTAACAAGAGTGTCATCTATGTTCTCCTCCTCATCTTCAGCCGGAGGTTGTGGTGTGCGAGATCTGTACAGTATCAAAATATGACATTAACAGCCACTTTCAAATACATGTATTTCATGTATTCTGCTGTTGGTGTAATGCACTATAGTGGTAATTCAGCACTAGTTTCGATTTAAAATATCACAATTAATGATGCACATACCTCTTGTCTTCCCGGTGCTCATAATAGCCGTAGCTCCTGTTCTCCTCATATGGTCTCTTACGGCTGTAGTCTCTGCCTCGATCACCTTCCACTTTGACCTGTTCAACCTGACCAGCATCATCTTGCCCGTCTTTCTCTTCCGTCTTTTGACTTTCCTGCTGTCTGTCTCCAACAGGCTCAGGCTCAGGATCACATTCCGTTTTGATCTCCACTTTCATTTCTAAAGTTATAAATGAACAATCAAAGTGAGCTAAGTGTTTTTGGTGGCCATTTAGGAAAGAGATGTTTCCAATCTGTTCCCCTCCTGCCACTGGTCTTTGTCAATAAATCAGGGGAGATGAGTTAAAACATGTGCACAGGTAAATAGTGTGTAATGTCTTTGTTTTAACAGAGCCCGAGGCTGTTAAATTGCCTTGCAGAACTGCAGGTTGATTTTGGTCAGACTTTCCAGTTTTTAATTTACTGTCACGCTTGGTTTAGTCTGAATTTCTAAAAAGCATTCTGCTACATCTGAAACTGTTAATATACAGCTGTGGGGTATGTTGTCCTCTGTATATGACCCATCTTAATAGGCAACCACAGAGCAGGGCAAACTATATACCAACTTTAACTAGGTAATTAAAATACTAGTGACCTGCGTCACCCTCGAAATGACATTTGTGTCACCAATAAAAATCAGCAATTATTTGCTGTGGTTGAAGAGTTTATCCCTCAACTTAAGTTTTTTATCCACCTTCACTACCCTGGTGGTGAATATTTCCTCTTATTTTATTGGGGTTAGGGTTACATGATGCACCTCAAGCAACACAAATGTCTTAAAATCACCTTGTTTGTTCTCAGCAGTCTCATCTGGTTCAGGCACGGGTTCAGTCTGTTCCTCAGACATGGTGTCCGCTTTGTGTATATCGACATCTGCTGTGAAGTCAGGCATGCTGTGGCCTGAGTCTGAAGTTGGTTGACTTTCATAGGGCTCGCCGTCCGCCTCCTCTTCTTCATAATAACCGCCTGAATCTCTTCCCTCATCTTCCTCTTCAAGGACACCATCGTCACCTTCACCTTCTCGATCCGCATCATCCCGCCCATCATCTGCATCAATGCGCCCATCATCTGCATCAATGCGCCCATCATCTGCATCAATACGCCCATCATCTGCATCATCATGCCCATCATCTGCATCGTCACAAACATCATCTCCATCATCATGCCCATCGTCTCCATCATCACGCCCATCGTCTCCATCATCACGCCCATCGTCTCCATAATCCTCTACTGCCTCTGCAAATAAAAAGGGAGATTCAAAATACTTAAGTCTCACTCAAGCACATAGAAAATGCACTTTTGTGGAACTTGATTTTGACACATTGTTCTCTTTTCCTTCTTATCCGCAAATGTATTTTCACAAACACAAATCAACAAGTAGAAGGGGCAGTCACTCAAAATACCTAAATGACTTTCTACCTTGCACGGTTGTATGGGTTAAAAAGAAAAAGCCAAGTTCACTTTGTCAAACAACTCAAGTCAAAAATAATTAAAATCTAAGATGTGGATCATTAAAGTATTATGGATACAAATATCACATCATGCATGAAATATGATGCCTGTAATTACTTCAATTAACTTATGAGTTACATCGGTATGAAAACGATGTACTCTGTAGTAGTAGGTGAGAGAGGTTATTAGGGAAGCTGAACTCCAGCATGGACAACACCTCTCAACCCCTACATGACACTGTGGGGGCCCTGGGCACCCCCTTTAGCCACAGTGCAAGAAGGTAAGCTAAAGCAGGCCATCCATTCCCACTGCTTTTAAATTCAAAACAACTCTTTTTGTCCCAGGGGGGCGATTTTAAGGCACAAAGAGCATGTCAAGACACAAGTAAACACAAGAGGGAAAACGAGGAAATCAGCGCAATGTCCACGGACAGCTAAAAACCAGTGCAGTTTACTCAAATTATAAAGTGAGAGTAGTGAATGTGACTGTAAAAAACCAGTAAACAGGATACAGGTGTAAAAACTGCATTGAGGTAAGTAATACAGATATTAATTATGTACAGTTGTTAAGGTGAATGAAGAATATATGTACAGGACCAGGTTGCAGCTGATGAATAAATACTGTATGAAAACATATACATATGAATACATAGATATATAAGTATATACTGATGTCAGACTCTACAACACCATCCGAAATTAAAAATAAAACCCTGTACTGGCTTTTTCCTGACCTCCACTCATGCTATTTGAACTATTTCTAACGGGAAGAAAACTTTTTGAACATTTGTGTCATGTGCACATTACAATATGTCCTGATAATTATGTATAATTGTTCTACTTTGCTGGTGCAATCATCCTTCACCGCTGCACTTTACAACATGTGTAGAAACTACGATAGTGGAAGGTGTATATTAAAAATCGTCGTCTTATTGAACGTTACACATCTCTTTAAAAGAACATATTTACTGGGGCTTACCTTGTGGCTGTTGGGCATCATCTCCATCTTCGTCTCCGTCGTTGTCCTGGTAGTCCTGACCGAGCTCACCCTCCTGCTCCCCGGGCTCCGAAGCATCAGCCTGCGAGTCAGCCTCCAGCGCGGCTTTTAGCCTCACCACCAGGTCCGCCTTCAGGCCTCTGGTGTCCAGGCCGCGGCGCTGGAGCTCCTCTTTCAGCTCGTTCACCTTCAGTTTCTTCACGTCAACACTCATCGTGTTTTCGGGAGTTTCTGGTGTGTATTTATTTACTAGCAAAGCAAAAACAGAAGGAAGGGGAGAGCGGTCACGCAAAGCTAACAACACCCGCTCCTTGCTAACTTTCAAATCGATATCTGTTGCGCGGCAGTCCCAGCCAAACAGGCTACATTAGCCGGTTAGCTAAGTTATCAGCGGTGGATGGATACAACACTGCTATATCCCACCCTACTACACATCTATAAACGATTAAATCTTAGCTTAACAATGTCTGATTAAACATTTGCACAAGGAAACAATCAACAGCTTGTTTCCTATGGTTGTTTTTCTGCCTCAGGTTGTCGCTACTTGGCTAACGCTGTTAGCCTGAGGTTAGCTAACGTCCGGCCAACCGCTGCAGGATAAGTAGGTTTAGCGTTAAGAAAATACAAGCTGCGCGCGTTATTCTGCTTTTGCGCCGAGGTTGTGTAGCTAACACGTCGCTTTTGTAGTTTTTAACAACGCTGTGCTGCAGAATAAAACCAGAAATACGGTCGTGGCCTACCTCCTCTCTCGCCAGTTGCGCGGGTCAGCAGCGGTAGTTGTGTGAGAGGGTCGCCAGCGTCCCCTAGCGTCGCCAACTCAAACCGGACGTTGGCGAAACCTGCGCGCGCATACACAAACGTGTATCATGCGACTTCTTCCTTTACTGTGTTTGTTTTACGTTGATGCACATTAGTCTGAACGCGTTGTTTCCCCCGAGCTAAGGTTGCTAAGTTAGAAGAAGGAGACGAAGTGGTTGGTTTGATCGTTACCTTGGAACTTAACTTGGAACACTCCGAGGTAGGAAGTGGTGAGATGTTTACATCGAAGGCATGCTGGGTAATGTAGTGTTATAAACACAGCCGCCTTTTCACTTCTTGCATCTGAACCATTTTGAAATGTATTTGGATTAGTCTAAATTCATGTTTCTAACATGGTTAACATGATCATTCTCATGGTAGATGTCATATTCACTGCTGTAAACAGAGTCCTCTTTTGAATGGTTTAATGATGTTTAATAATCCTAATTATTATAATTACTGAGATAATGCACTGTTGTAAAGCAGGGGACTGCATCTAAATTCTTGTTGTTTTGATTCATGCCCTCCTTTTCTGAGGTGTGGTTTTTTATGAAGTATGATAAGATAAGATCCTTTATTGGTCCCACAGGCCATCAGGTTCCTAAACCTGCAGTCAACTCATGATTAACAACCCTCCGCACCTCTGTTTGCACTTTATTTGGAAAAATGTGAATCATAACTGTTACACACACGCTGCAATAACTACATATTAGCATGTGCACTAACTATTAACACACACTCCAGTTAGTCATTACTTGATTTTCAATGAATGTCACACTGCACCTTTAATTTATATGGTTTTAGTTTTGTATTGTATCGTATTTGATTATTTTTATAGTAAGCTCTTTCTACCTCGCTTTTAATTTATCTACTGCTGAGCTGACTGGTTTCTTCTTGTCCAACACATTTCACTGTACTCTTGACCCTGTGCTAACTTGCATATGGAAAATAAAACTTTTTTGCACTTTGCAGTGGGAGAATATGTACACAGAATGGATTGCACAAGGGGGTTTGTACAGGTGGAGAATCAAGTCGATACACACTGAATCTTTTTTTTGCTCATTTCTTGTGTGTCTAGTCACTGACCGACTGCAGAGGGGATTTCATAGTGTGTTTGGCCTCAGTTCCTTTTCAATTTGTAATGTAAATGTAATGTTATCTTTTCTCATTTCCTCATGTTTTGAATGTTATAAGTTTGTTGATACTCTGTCGCACTCAACATTTTTTGTCCTTCTGTCCGCCCTGCGAGAGGAATCCCTCATATGACTCTCCCTAAGGTTTATACTTAGTTTTTCCTCACCCTAGTCAAGGCTTAATGACAGAGGACATGTGTGAATATTTGACTGATTCACAAATATTATTCACAAATCAACAATCTGTACAAGGTGCATTCTCAATATATAAATAATAAATATTCACATATTTGACTGATTGATTGTTATGTGGCACCATCCCCATTAACAGACAGCATATCATTTTATTTTTCACCTTCAATTTACAGGTGTCATCACACCCAGTGTACACAAACCAGCCGAGGGATTCAGAGCAAATACAACATGTTGTGTCCATGAAACTTTGGGGGCAGATACTGTCAAAAATAATCCACTTATGTGACCCAGAGTCTCAATTGAAGCCAATGATGCATAAAGATGTGTTTGCTAAGTGATTCAAGTCCATGACAATTACTGAAATAAAATATTTGTTTTCAAATATATTAGCTTTAGGGTCACTGTTGCTTTACTTTGTTAATCTTTATATACAGTCAAGTCTTCTTATGAACATGCAACATGAACTACAGAAAAACACTATGAATATCATAGCAATCCCCCTTTAAAAACCAGGCTCAAAACTTGAGCTAATGATAGAACCCAAATCCAGCACGCATTGAAATGTTCATGTCCACCTCTTCACCCTACCTTATGGGTTTAGGGGACAGTGTGTGAAGCTGGGTTGTCATCAGGTTGTACATGTGGCTGTACTATGTTGGTGCAATCATTCCTTTAACACACAGATCAACAAATAATGCGGTTATATCTAGCAAACGACTAATTTAATCACTTATTTGGAGTAGGAAAGGACACAAGCTGCCTGTTGACCTCTCTCAGCCGTGCATCTAGAGTCTCTGTGGTCAGTGACAGTTCTGCTAGTTGAGTCTGTAGGCTTGTGATGGTCTCATTCAGCTCCTCCTCTTTGCGGCGAGAATTAGCGGCCTGCCTGCTGTACTCCAGCACCATACATCCACCGCCAATTAGGAAGATGATTGCCTCTCCCAGCAACTCTGCGCCCAGCTCTGCAGCCATTTCCTCATTCAGCGGCTTAATGGTGGAACCCCTAAAGCCCATGATCCGCATCTTTGTTCTCATCTCGACCCAGTGGTAAACTGTGAGGAAAATGAACATATAGTACACAATACACATATAAGTTAGGCTTTCAATAAAAGTCTTGTGTCTTAGTCAAATATGCACAAATGTGGTAAATGACAAACACCTGCAAACACATTTACAATCAGAGATGGTTGAGTTTTGAATGTAAAGTGATTTATCAGTTTATATATTCACAGATATCTCAGTACCAGTGTTTATGTGAGCAGAAATTAAAGTTTGTATTTTACAGAATAAACAATTCAGAGAAATGTGCATTTGTTGATATTGACCATTAGAAAGGTTTTTCTAAGGGAGGAACCTAAAATAGAGGAGTAATAGGTGAAAAAACAATACAATTAAATGTACAAAAAATAAAAGTGTTTCGGTTAAAGAAAATAAAGTATAAATATATTTACATTTATTTATTTATCTATTACATACTATAGATATCTTGGCATCTGCATTGATTAGAAACTTACCTTAAATGTCCATATTGATAAATTGTTGTTAAAGCTGAGAATGACACTGGGATTTATTTTTAGGAACAAATCTTGCTTCCCTTCGTTTACAAGAAAACATATTTAGTGAAGCAGTGTTTCTCTCTATCTTTGGACTTTGGTGACATTATTTATGGAAAGGCAGCAAGCCCCACCCTAAAACCTTTGGATGCAATTCATCTTGCATTCATTCGTGACCAGTCACACATTCTATTCTCTGAATTTGACCGTCACCTTCAGGCAGACGTTACAGAATCTACAAGTGTAATACCAACCGCCTCAAGCTCTCATTCATCCCAACGCCCATCACACCACTCAAGAGGGAAACATGTTGATTCAGTCATGTATCTCAATAACCTTTGTGCTTTGTCACATTTTATACTCTGTTTTTTTTATTTATTTTTTTATTTTAATCTTTATGTACAAAGCTGTTTAAAAAAAGCATGAATTGACAAAACTATCGATTGTGACTGTCGTTGCTCATAATTTTATTACTGGTTTTATCATTTTTATTTATTCACTTTTTTTAACCATTCATACATATTTACTTTTCAACAGTGTTACTTCTAATTAATGTTGTACTTATTTTGATTGGTATAACCATGTATTGTGTTATTGCTGTTTGAATTTAAATGCATCGTATTTCCAGTATTGTTGTATTGCTGCACCACTGCCCCATTGAAAATATGGATTCCACCATTCCAGAGGCTTTAAATAAATGAAATGGTGAAAAATGATGACAGAATGAGTGTAAATAACATTATGGGATAAGCTGCACCTGCCATTTTGTAAGATTTTTTAAAAAATTAACCAAAATATAATCAGATCACAGTGGAAGAACGATAACGATTTCCTCCTGATTGACACTATGAATATGACCTGAGGTAAAAACGCTCTCGATGTCCTGTTAAAACCGCATTTATCTATTATTTTTGTTATTTAATGCACCCTGTTCAATGACAGACAAGACCAGCCCACTACAAAGCTACCTTGGCTGCTATTGGTCATCTACATAAACCGCTGCACATGATTGGATAAGCGTTCTTAACCAAAGCGATCTCATTGGTTGTTTCAGCCCTGCCCGAGCTGCTCTATCTTCCGGGACTCGGACACGGAGCTAGCGGTCATTAGCAGCCGTTAGCTCGGTTACTCACTCTGGGCCGGCGGCAGACAGATGTAGGTTTTGAAGAACTCGCTCCTCCGTGCTCCAGCTTTTATCCGATTCGCCACCGGTTTGCTCATCTGCCTCACTCCCAGGTATAGGAGCTTGGCGATGGGGAAGGCACCGACAACCATCTTGGCGGAAACGCTTCACCTTCTTCTTCTCTGAGGTTTATCGGAGGCTGGCACAAGCGAATGGACGCGCTAGCGCCATCAAGTGGTTGACACATCTCATTCAAACTATAATATTTAATTGTTCTAGCAAATAAAACTATAACAATAATGATTACAATATGATTTTCTTTGAAAGCAATTTAAAAAAGTGCAAGTTTCTACTTTTTCTTCAGATTATAACCTTGATGACAACTAAACACGCATGTATAAAATTAAAGGTTGAGTGTGTAAGGTTTAGGTGAAATAGATTTATTGGCAGAAATTGAATATAAAACGATAGTAGTGGAGTGTTTTATCTAAATTGTATGAATTGTTGGTTTACGTACTATCGGCCTTTTATATTTAAATACTATTTAAATCAGGAGGGGGTCCAGCTTCATCCACTGTGCAATATTACTATCCAACCACAACCACCTCTTTTTGCACTATTTTGTATAGTTTTTAACGTGTTTATGTTTAATGTTGTATTTTATTTCTTTTTGACTAAATGCACCTTTCAGTGGTGGTATTTCGCCATGCTTCACTGTGTGATGACATTAAAGACATTCTATTCTATGTTATTCCTCTCTAGAGAGGCCGCCATGTTTTTTACAGTAGCCCAGACTGGACTAACTTAACACCTTTATGTTTTTATGACAACTGAAGGTGTGGTATTCAGCTGCAACATGCAGCTTCACCTCTAGATGTCACTAAATTCTACACACTGAACCTTTTAAACTTTATTTGTTTATTTGTATTTGAAGGAAGTGGCCACACTCAGGGGCTACACACATTCACTACAGATACACTGTCTTTTAATTTGCCATTTATCAATTGAAGGATAGTTTAAACTTTCAAAGTTCACACAGCAATACATAACTATGGGAGCTGCCAATTAATACAATATGCAACTAGTGCCTATAGAGGCGTACAATCTGCATTGTACCCTGACTCACCAATAGGTGGCGCTGGAACTCTAAATCATTTATATTCCATTATCATTACATTAAATGTCATTTAGCTGACGCATTTATCCAAAGCGATTTATAATGCATTCAACATCTATATTTGTTTGTAAAATATCTTAGATAGAGTAAATAAACATGTACAAATTGTAATCCTGGATCAACACAACTGTTGTGAGACTCTGACAATAMTTTCCTACGATTTTGAACTGGAAACATGAGTATAATTTCTATTTGAAATAAGGGAATAAAAATCATCAATAAATATTACTTAAGAAGTACTCAAACACTGAACTTATATAAGTAATACATTAGTGTAAAATACTCAATGACAAGTAAAAGTCATGTATCTGAATCTCATATATTATCAACTAAAAAAATGTACTTACTATTATTATTACTATATTATAATGAATAATAATAATAAGAAGAAGAAATTCAGTGAACCATTCAGACAAACAATTATTTTATTTTCAAATAATATTTTTTAATGTATAGTGTAATTAATGTATTAAAGGTACAGTGTGTAGAATTTTGTGATATCTAGTGTTGAAATGTCATGTCGCAGCTGAACACCCCTCACCTCACCCTCTCCTTCCAAACATGAAAAAGAACCTGTGGTAGCTTCAGTTGTCATAAAAACTCCAAAGGTTTTAGTTTAAACATGGCGGCCTCCGTAGAGAGGACCCCCTCAATGTAAATATAAAGGGCCTTTTCTGGGTAAAGAAAAATACAATTCATACAAATTAGATGAAACGAACTAGTGAAAACATCATGAGGATTATTCTACATTAAATTCCTGCCTATAGTTCCCTTTCACCTAAATCTTACACACTGGACCTTTAAAGAAAACCTACTCACAAATAAAAAGACAAATCACTGGGTCTCTAAAGAAAAAAAGGTGGAGTTTCCTGTAGTTCCTGTGCGTCCTGTGTGCATGTTACCTGTGCCAGCTGTGGATCTGTGGCGCTGCAGTGCAGTGACACACCTGGATCGGGTTACAGCTGCGCAGGGAGGCGGAGCAGCTGGAGCCAGAACCTCTGCGCTCGGTCGGTGCGCAGCTATGACTACATGTCTGGAGCTGGAGCCATAAGAGACAAACACTGAGACGAACTCGACTCCGGGAAGAATCGTCTGAGCCCAGGTCCACTTTCACTCGAGTCTGGGACCAAAGACGCGAACAGGACTTTTCTGAAGTAAGAGACTTTCTCATTCGCTCAGTTTGCAGCCTCGGCGTCGGATCACACAGTCTGGGGTGATTATTCATGATGAAATAGGTTTTATTTTCTCATGTTTATCACCAGTGCTTCGCTATTTGAGTGAGTTCTCTGCTCTTGATGTTGAGAAAAAACATATTTCTATTCTCCGGATACTTCTTTCCACGAGTTTCTCGGTCATTGTGAGAGGGGAGGAGCTCCGTCTCAAACTAATGAAAATCAGATGTTACCTTCCTCTGCCTGGAGGGTGTCACTGTCTCCTGCCACTGTGCACACTCACAGCAGCTGGACACTGACAGACAGATGTGCAGCACACCTGGAACTCAGCTCATATACATACAGGCATTGACAGCCTATAAGAACCAGGGTTAATGAGAAGTGAATATTCACAAGAACCTGAGGGCTTTTGTGATTTTAATAGTGATGTTAGCTGAGTTAATTGTGTTCTTATGTTTTTCTAGGTGCCATTATTGTTGAATATTTAAGCCATCCCACATAGCATACAGATGCGGGCCACTTCAGACCATTGTGCAGCACTTCAGGCCATTTGTGGCCCGACAAAATAGACGCCCACATGTAAACTAGCAAATGTGGCCCAAATATTCCCAAACCATTACAGGCCGTTTTTTGGCAAACATAGGTGTAATCTGGATGTGAACCTAATGTGGCCCCAATGTTAAATATGGCTCAAATAGCACAAAATAAATAGCGGCCACCTTTGGTTGATGTGGTGTAGTGCTATGGCTCACTTGTGGCCCAGATCTGGCAAACAGGAGCGGCCCAGTGCCATCACTCCACATGGTATGTGGGCTGGATCTGGGCTAAAACAATTATTTTGAAATGTATTGGTGGTGCTTTTAAGTGTAGCGGTGGTGATTAAAAGAAAAAAAATCCTTCATGACATTTGTAGTTTTGCACCTTTTCTCCCATGGATTCAGTGCAGTGCACTCAGCCTCAGTCTAAACCAGCTAGACTGCATTGTTGTAGATTATATTTGCTGTAACCTATCATTGAATTAAGTGACAACTCTGTCCCTCATAACTCTACTTTCTGCAATGCCTGTATACACATGCACATACCTTTTAAGTATTTGTCATCTCTTGATAATTCTGGCCCTGCCTTCAACTCTTTGCACTTCAGCATGAGTGTGCCCCAATGCTGGCATTAGATGGAGCATGCATCTTGCCAGAAAAGCCTGTTATGTCGTGCAGCACTGAGAGATTCCTGAAGTCGCATGCTGTAAAATAGTAGTACTTAAGAGGATCGTGCTAGAGGCCACCAGCATCGTGAACTAAAAGACAAACGAATGCAGGTTATACTGTAGTTAAGGATTAATTGTTATCGTCTGAGACAAACTCTTCAGAGACCGACTCCTATTCTCCGCTGCAGGAGATCAATGGAGCTGCATTGCCTGAGGATGTTGTCGTTGGCAGTAAAAGTCGTTTGGAATAGAATGTGCTGTATGTGTTGTCAAAAAGCTCAAGTACCCAAATCCCTAACCAGGTCAGAGGTGTGGCTGTGGGTGGAGATTTTGTGTTTGAGGAGTTTACAGTTCTACTAGAAGCAGAATCCATGACTGATGTGTGAAGTATTTATGGAAGGTCATATGTCAGCGTGGAACTCATCACTCAGCAGGCAAATTCAACTCAGCAGCTCACACAGCTGAGAAAATGTCAGTGCAGCTCAATGCTTCGTGGTCATCATTAAACCTGTGAGACATGATGTGTTGTGCTGTTGATAAACATCTCTCTGTGATGGTGGTGGCAGATGCTGAAGCACCATCTCTCTCCTCCAGCTCTGTAACACGGATTCCTGATGTTTACACAGTATTACCACATAACTCTCATCTGCATTTGCACATTCAACCTTGGCCTTAATCCAGAAAAACTTACATCTTGTTTCGAATTGTTCCCGCACATGAGATAGTGAAGCGCCAATATAAACATTGGACTGCAGCCATGGAAATACACGCCAATGATTTCATACCAGTGATATTCTGGATACTTCAAGTAACAAGCTCATCCCTCGACCAATAGCCCCTCGAATTACATTAAACTGCACCACACTGCACACACTCATGGATATCTGTTCCATAAATATGATTTGTTACATGAAGATCAATACTCCCTGGGAAAGTGGTAAAAGCTTAAAAAATCCCCAATTCCTGGATATGCCCCTTTGTACGGATCCATGTCAAAAGTTAATTTTTTCTCTTTTGGCCAGTGTCTCATTAGTTTCGTGGGAATCTGTTCAGTAGTTTTTCCATAATCCTGCTGATTAAAAAAACAAACAACCAAACCAATACAATGTCACTCAGTGGAGCTAATCCCTCACCTAGGCTCAACAGTCCCTTAAATTCAAACAAGCTGCACCAAGTTTCACACACAAATATGCCAGACCTTTTTCATCTGCACCAAATTCCCTGACCTATTCCTCGTCCTTCCACCAAGTTTTGAGGAAATCTGTCAAGTTGTTCTTGTCTAATATTGAGTAGAAACATACAAACCAACCACCAGGGGGGAAACACAACCTTTGGTGAAGGTAGTGGGTTTAGCCACGTGCAGTAAATATTTTAATTTGTATCGTCTGCATGATGACAAACTGCCAGAGGATTCCATGTCAAAGAAAAATGCAAAGCAAACCATGTTGTTTTTAATCATTCAGTCTCGGCCAAGTTTCTTTGCCAAGAGTGAGCCAATACAAAGAGCTGAAGGAAGGATATGGAAGACGGAGCCTCGATTGTGAAACAGAAGAGGGAGGAAATGAGTGGATGCCTGGATGGAAATACAGAGTTCAACAGAAGAGAATTAATCTGATGTGTAATCATGAATTGTTGCTTCAGGATATAAAAGGAGTGGGAGTGAAGGAGGGACGATTTGTTTGGAAACAGAAACACCCTGAAATTCTGGAAGGGAGCTAATTGCAGCATGTTAAAACGGTAGAAGCAGCTGACGCTGTGATCTAAGCTCCAGAGAGGAACTGGAAAGAAATGAATATGTGGTTTTCCTCGAAACCTTTCATGAGAAAGTGACCTCAGTGCAGCCGCAGGTCAGCGAGCCCCGGAACAGAGGGCTGAACCACTGCAGCGACCACAAGCCGTCAGTCCACCTTCAATTTTCGGATGATTAATGTTTCTGTTTAAAGACGAAAGCCCAGAATAAAAACACACAAGAGGGGCTTTTAACTTTATAGTCTCTACTGTGAGTACACTTTGATGGGCAACATATCTGTGATAACAGTGAGGTGGCTCTTCCAAAAAAGTATAAACACGCTTCTTCTTCCTGAAACATTCATTTAACCAAGTCTAGTCTGGTGTAGAAAACTAGTTTCCCCCAGTTTATTTGCACAGTAGCAAAATATGCTGATAAGAAAAGCTAATACAGACTTTTACCTCTATGCTGTGTATCGAGGTGTAATATTGGCCTCATTTGAAAACTATTTGATATCTGCATGGAGTTTGTGTTATTCAAAAACTAAGATTCATAATATGTATCTTGTCTAGAAAACTACTTGACATAAGTTTATTTGCACAGTGGTAACATATCCAAATAAAGACAACCTGCAAATCACAGACACAAACAATCACAGCTAAACTATTGTTAGTATTTAAAAAGTGTATCACCAAATAACATGAAAAAATGCGAAGACATAATCCAGAATAAAGTCATAATGATAAAATCATTTAGGAAATGAGGTAACACCATTGGTCCATGTATAAACTTGTGAATCTTTCAAACACTAAAACAGTTTTTCTTTTATTAATCTTGCCCCACAGTGTTAACGCTGGAGTAAAGAGAAAGATAACCTCAAAAACAAATTAAGTAAATCTAAAAACTAGAATGTCACTCAGTAGAGCTCATTCCTACACCAAGGCTCAACAGTCACGTTTAAATTAAATAAGTTGGCAACAAATTTCACACAGATTTCATAGATATCTAAATATATCCATGGATGATAACCGCTGGGAAATCTCAGTGAAAATGTCAAGAAACGTCCCATCTTGCCATGTTATTTAATGGACTTTAACACATACAGCATCATTTCAAGATTTGTGGAAATCCGTTGAGTTGTTCAAACAGACAGAAGTGAAAAGATAATCCCCTTATAATAGCTAATATACTCTAATTGTTTTAATGGCCACTAATTGCTCAGTAACAAACACAGTAAAAGTCATTACAGAAAAAACGATGTGGAATGTTATGAGAGAAGGGATGCGGGGAGTTGTTGTGCAGGAAGGGGGAGTGATCAATGTGACCTTTGTGAGTCAGTGAGAGTGAAATGTATTGTGTGTGTGTGAGCTGCTCTTGACGGAGATAAGCTTCCCAGACTGTGTGAGAGTTGAACGCCTCTCAGGGAGGAGCGGCGAGGAATGTGAGCCTGTCACCAGCCACGACTGAGACATGACGAGTCCCCGGGACAACTCAGCAGCAGCGGACACACTGCGTGAGGAAGAGCTATTGTCTGACTCTGTGGTGCACTGCAGTCTGATGACCTTACATAACACATGTTTCCTTTGGCCTAACTAATGTTCAACTGGTGTTGACTTACCCGGTGAATGAGCAGGATGTTTTGGATGTCGGTTGAGGTTTAAGTAGAAACACACCCAACGGTTTAATGACAAACTGGGGTTGATGAAGCTTCTCCTTGTTGTCTGTGTCCAAGTTTACTAGAAAGAATTAAATAACTGTCCAGCGTTTTATTCTGAAATGTTTCACATTGTCTGTGTTCATCATGTAAAGATATATCAAAAAATGATTCACAAAAAAAGTTAAATAATCATAATCTTTATAATACAAACATAAAAT